GAGCCTCATACACTCTTTAATCTCCTTAACACAACAAACCTCTAAGAGGACTGGTATTAATATTAGTAGCATTCCTATTTTCCGTATGAGGATGCTGAGAGGTTCGGGCTTGCTGAGGACAGACACAGACGATGAGCTGAGGTTGACTCCAGTTCCAGGCTCTGAGCCCCAGCAGGCTCCCATCTCCTTTGGGAACCCTCACAGCTATGTCCTAGTTTAAGATTTTTCTTTTGTAAAAACTGGAAGGCATAGAAGGCTGTTTTATCTTTCCCTTTTCCCCTCTCCTTGCGCTGGGAACACGGACTTCCTCACCGACAAGAACCGTCCGGCTGTCCTTGGTGGTGGTTCTCACATTTCTGTAAGCGTGGGAATCCAGGTGGAAGCATGTTTAGAAGTCTTTCCTGATTCCTCTGCTCCAGCTCCAGCAGTGTAGCTGATGGGGAGGGGTCCTGCTCAGAACCCTGCAGGTCTCACACACTTGGCTTTGGGCCACACTTTGGTCCACACTGGGCTGTCCAACCTTTTTCTTAACTGCTCTGCATTGGAGTAAGATGAGTTATCTTTGGCCACACATTAAATACACGCTATTGAAAGCTGATGAATACAAAAAAGGTCCATGGATAATTTTCGTGATGTCGCCATCACAGATAAGGAAAGAAGTCCTCAAATAATCAGCATGTGGTCTGTGGGCCGCAGGTTGGACACCCTTAGTTGTCGAGTTTTTCTCTCCTATTTTATATTGTTAAAGGGCAACACTATGTTTTTCTGGTATCTGGGGAAGGCCCTTTCCTTAAAGAAGTTGAAACTTCAGTTACTTTTAAATGAGTTTTATTTAATGCTTTGTAAAATAGAAATGAGGATGTTTAAGCCAAAACAACTTTGATATTAATAAAGTGCAATTATCTAGTAACTTGTTTTGCCTGACTGTAACTTAGTGGGGGGAAGTCTGAAGGGAATAATGAAGTGTCTAGTTATTTTAGAGAAGAAAAAATTTTAACCTCTCTTTTTTTCCACCCTCCCTCACCTGCTTTTTCTCAGATTGTAAAGTGGTCGGACTGTTGCTTGCCATTAGCTTGCAGACCTGGGGAGCCTTATCGATTAATTGCTGAAGCAAGTGTGGATGATTTCAGCAAACTGGGAGTGGCGTTCATGGAAGATAGACTCCAGATGGATAATGGACTGATACCCCAGAAGATTGTTTGTAAGTAACTTTAGATATCATGGGTCATCAGCTTAGGGACTCATGCTGGGAGGACTTAAGGCAGCTCTTAGTTTCAGTGTGATTCAGTCAACAGGCTCAATTTAACTGTAATAGTATAAAATTCATATGTGTGTCAAGATGTTTTTTGAGGGGGGTTACGTCTATAGTGCTTCTTAAATTTCTTAAGGAAGTATTTTCCATAATTGCATTGTCTTTCCCACGAGAAGGCACTCAGATTCAGAACCCATTTATTTCACCCCATTCAATACCCTATAACTGGTTTGTAGCCCTTAGTTCTCACTGAATGGGAAGCACAACCAAGTGTTACTATGAAGTTCTAAATCTAACTCTTCCCAGATCTCTATTTCAAACACACATGCCAACATTTTTTTGGGAACAAATCTTTTTTTCAGGAAACATGCCAACTGTTCTTCCTTAATTAGGCTGAAAAGCAGACTTTCTATGTCTGCGAAAGTCTCTTTTTTGCAAATCAGAGTGGCAGCTTTGGCAACTTGTGCAGCCATTTAATTTTCTGATTGGCCGCGTGCATGTGCCTAGTACCACATCAAACACAGAGCAGGTGCTCTAGAAATGCTTTTGAATCAGTGACTGGGAACTTACACTCCAGTCCTGTGACAGGATCCTAGAAAGACCCTTCTCCTCACTGATCCTGGGCAGCGCCCTGAGGGCAGCTTTCACTGGGGTGTGCTGAGGTGGACTCTAGAGAGTGTGTTCTCGTCTTTCCTCAGTCTCGTTAGCATATACACAGACGTGTAGGAGAATAACACCCATGAAATTGAATCTATAAATAAGTAGGCAAAGTCACCTCCCTGGATCTCACTTTCTTCCCCTGTCACTAAGAGGATCGTAGGTTCTCTGGTATGTGTGAGAAAAATGCTGTGGAAACTGAGGCTCTCACTTGGGGCACCCTCCCAGCAGGCAGGAGTAGTTTGTAGTTCCAAGGGAGGCCACTGAGTTGAGGTGGAGCTGCAGGTGGGAGCCGTGCAGGTGGCTGTCCTGGAGTGGATGTCATGGAGTGCAGGATTATAGGATTCTTGGGCTGACCTGCATGATACACCGGAAATGCCAGCTAATATCTTTCTTGTTTGTGCTTTAGCCGTGCACTTGCAGGACTCTGCTCTAAAGGAACTTAAGGATCAGGCTTTAAACAAGCCAGCTCAAGTCCTGCAGCTGAGCCCTGAACCTGCTTTGGAGATCGAGCCCAAGCAGGACGTCATGGAGCACGTTGGCAAAGACGGCCCGAGGGTTCTTGGTGAAGAACCGAAACAGAGGAGGGGCAGTGCCTCTGGGAGTGAGCCTGTGGGGGACAGTGACAGGGGAGGGGGCTCTGTTGAGCATTACCACCTCCATCTGTCTAGTTGCCATGAGTGTTTGGAACTAGAGAACAGTACCATTGAGTCAGTCAAGTTTGCATCTGCAGAGAACATTCCAGATCTTCCCTATGATTACAGCAGCAGTTTAGAGAGTGTTGTTGATGAGACCTGCCCTGAAAGGGAAGAGAAGAGAGTCAACATCACGGGAAAGGCACCCAACATTCTCATCTACGTGGGCTCCGACTCCCAGGAAGCCCTCGGCCGGTTTCAGCAGGTCCAATCTGTCCTGGCTGACTGCGTGGACACCGACAGTTACCTTCTCTACCACCTGCTGGAGGAAAGCGCTCTCAGAGACCCGTGGCCAGACAACTGTCTGTTGTTGGTCCTGGCTACCAGGGAGTCCATTCCCAAAGATCTGCACCAGAAGTTCATGGCCTACCTTTCTCAGGGAGGGAAGGTGTTGGGCCTATCTTCGTCCTTCACATTTGGTGGCTTTCAGATGACACGCAAGGCTGTCCTGCAGAAAACAGTCCAGAACTTGGTCTTCTCTAAGTCTGACCAGAGTAAGGTGACACTCAGCATCCTAAGCAGTGGCTGTGTTTACGAGGAGGTCCCTGGAGAGCAGCTTAGTCTGGGCAAGCTCCAGGGCCACCTAGAGAACAAGGACCAGGACAGGATGGTTATCCAAGTGCCTTTTGGAGCATGTGGAGGAGAAGCTGTTCTTTGCCAGGTACTGAGGGGGGTGCTGATTTGATGACCTTAGGGTATCTTGGAGAGGGAATATGCTCTTTAAGGCTTTACACGTGAAGATTTTAGGAGTTTTTGTGGTGCGGGCTGCTGCAGGTTCCTGTTGGTGGGGAGCTTTTGCTGATGGTGAGCAGAAGGTAGTTTAGTTCAGGTTTTCACGAATACCCTGATTAACTGAAAGACTCATGATGGAGGAGTTGAGCTTGCTGGTTAACCAAGGATCTTGTGTTGATCTTTGCTAGTGATGACCTTTCTAAAATACACGGTCCACTTTCTTGCCTCATAGTACACTGTGGTTAATATAATCAATCCTTTATTTAACATGGAAAGTGGAAAGCCTTGGGTGGCGATTCCAGATGTCAGTGACCATCATGTTAAAATGTACAGTTGGTTACAGCGGTAGTTTGTGCTAACAAGATCTCCAAATTCCCAACTCTTTTCTTATGATTTGTCATTCTTAACATCTAAGGGCTCAGAAAAAGCTTCAAATAAGTGCAAATTGAAGTTATTAGATTTATGGCATATTAATACATTGAAGTTATTAGATTTATGGCATATTAATACACAGGTAAGGACAAAATGGAAAGAGGATCAAAGGAAAGTTCTAGTTTCCTTCCACACCTCGAGGTCCTTTGGCTCTTCTGCTGTTCTTTTTCCATCCTCTTTCTCCTTTTAGCTTTTTGTTAGTGAACAGCAGCAGGATAGACCATTTCAGAATTCTTCATAATTTACTATGAAACTTTTAATGCTGTAGGCAAAGGTTTTTGTTAGACTTAAATGAACACTCACTTGTTCAGAAGGATTTGATAATTGAGGCCGGGGTGCCGTGGCTCACGCCTGTAATCCTAGCTCTCTGGGAGGCTGAGGTCGATGAATTGCTTGAGCTCAGGAGTTGGAGACCAGCTTGAGCAAGAGTGAGACCCTGTCTCTAAAAATAGCCAGGCATTGTGGTGGGCACCACTGTCCCAGCTACTCGAGAGGCTGAGGCAAGAGGATCACTTGAGCCCAAGAGTTTGAGGTTGCTGTGAGCTATGACATCATGGCGCTCTACCAAGGGTGAAAAAGTGAAACTCTATCTTAAAAAAAAAAAAAAAAGATTCATTAATCTAATGACACAACTAAGAAGATATGGCTCGGTACCCGTACTTAGCACAGTGGTTACAGTGCTGGTCACATGCACCGAGGCTAGTGGGTTCGAACCTGGCCTAGGCCAGCTAAAACAACAATGACAACTGCCACAGCAACAACAACAAAATAGTGGGGCATTGTGGTGGGTATCAGCTACTTGGGAAGCTGAGGCAAGAGAATTATTTAAGTCTAAGAGTTTGAGGTTGCTGTGAGCTGTGATGCCACAGCACTTTACCAAGGGCGACATAGTGAGACTCTGTCTCAAAACAAACAAACAAAAAACTAAGAAGATATAAATATTTTGTCCAGAAGAGTTCCCAAGATGAGTGGGAAGAGATTTTGTTTTATTATAGTGATCTTTTTATTGAGTTAGAGAACTGTTTACTTTTTAAATTTTGTTTTACTTTCATTGTGTAATACCACCTCTGTCTCTAGACCTTCTAGAAGCTAAGTTTCTTGGGTTTTCTGATCAAACATTTTTAAGGTGGTATTGCTTTTTGGCTATTTTAAAGCCTATTCATTTGTGCTTAAGATAATAATCAGCCAAAGATGCTTGGGACAGATGAACACATACAAACCCAGCAGGTTTCCTGCAGGGCAGCAGACCATATCAGTTAGCTTTTGGAGGCCTAATAAAAGTTCTCCTTATCTTTTTCTCTGCAAATATGGTAACTATAGTAACTGCTCATTCTCAGAAAATCCATTTAAAAACCCGACTTCCTAGAGCCATATTTCAGTTTTGAATTGCGAACTTTACCACCCCTGTGCACAGACTTGTACTAGAAAATTGATTTGGCACTGTGGCGATCCAGTTCTCTGAGTTACACAGCAAATCTGCTTGCTGCACCATTTAAATTGACCCCATTCCTATCATAAAATTTGATACTGCAGCGCACTGCCCTAGGGGCAAAAAAGGCAATGTGATGCAGCTTCACAAATCAGATTCAGAGGATTAGAATGTCATTTTTGATTTTAAATGACTTCCAGAGTTCTGTGTGGCAGGGTCCCTGTTTTCTCTGCAGGCCAGTGTCTCTCTGATACCTCACTAGGATCAAAAATAAATATTATCACAGACTGGTTAGTTTCCTTTTTCCCTGTTCAATTTTATAGTCTTCATCTTTGTAATAAATCTAGTAATGATGTAACCCAATAAGAGGCGGGAAGTACTTCAAGGGCAGAACACAGCTGCACATGAGGCGGGGGTATCACCAGCCAAGTACGCTGCAGCTTTGATGCCTTTGCCATTCATAACAGTCAAGAAAAAGAAAATATTTGCATGCTTGTAGTACTGATCGGGTGTGCAGGGAAGACTTAATGCTATAGATTAATGCTGATGTTTGACTATCCGCTAGACGAGAAGTTTGGCATGAAGTTGTCCAAATAAAGCCTTTCAAATGGATTTTAAAAGATTCTGTTTTCTTGGTTAGCTTAGGGTGTAGCAAAAGTGGGTCTATTTTTATAGCCAAGTTCTCTACCCTGCCACTACACTATTGACTTTAGGGGCCAGATATTTCTTTGTGTGGAAGGGTCATCCTATGTATTTTAGGATGTTCGGTCTGTATCTCTGGTCTCTGTTAGATGCCAGGAGTGCTCTGTTTCTCCCATTTGTGGCTGGAGGCTTTTTTTTTTTTAGCTCTGGCTTTCTTCCAGTTAAAAAAAACCTTATTTTTAGAAGAATCTAATGTATAGAAATAGGCTTATCACTATGGTAACAGCACTACAACCAGAGGATGAGACTTGGATACCATGGAGGACCAGGAGGACAAATCTACCATGAACACTGCTGTGTGCCATTTTTTCCCTGTTAGTGGTGAGCGTAGAACCAGAGGTGGCCCCTTTTGCTGTTTGCATTGTAGAAGCACCTAAATCAGAGGTCCTCAAACTTTTGAAACAGGGGGCCAGTTCACTGTCCCTCAGACCGTTGGAAGGCCGGACTGTGGGCCCCAGGACGAGTCCGCTGCTAAGCAGGACAGGCAGTGGCAGCAAAAACACCCAGAGGACCGGATAAATGTCCTAGGCGGGCCATAGTTTGAGGACCCCTGACCTAAATCATTAAGAGAGTAAGCAAAGGCAGTGCCCATCATTCCAGGGCAGGCTTTTCCTCTTGCCCCTGGAACTCAGAGGCCTGTTTGTGGCATGATCCATGGTTTTTCTCATTGGCACCTTTGGGTCATGTGAGAACGAGTCTAGCACGTGTCCAAACCGTGTGGATATTCTGTGTATCCACCCCGCCCATTGAGTCCCTGTGCCGTCCTGACACACCTCCCCTTCTCCCGTGGGCTCGTGGCAACAGAAGTTGCTCAGTTTTTCTGGGCCCCTTGCTGTGCTGCTTCTCCCTTGCCAGCTGGCTTTGACCGTGGCAGAGCAGGGGCACACATTTATGGTGGAGTCTGAGAGGATAACAAGCTCTTAGGGAAGTGGTTTTCAACTGGGGTGCCGTGGCACACCCGTGTGCAGTGAAAAATTTTAAAGACCATTAATTAAATTATTTTCAAAAGAAGTTCAAAGCGTAATGAGTATTTTCTTTTTTTAACTCTCTTTTTCTATTGGATCAAAACATTTTAAGTGTGCCATGGAAGCTTAACTATAGGTTCATATGTGCTGGGAGATAAAAAAAGTTGAAAAACACTGCTTTAGAGGGTTTCTCTTTTCTACCTCTTCGCTTGCCAAGGCTGTTTAGAGGACAGGCATTCCTGCTGGCTCCTGACCTGCACACAGTTGTGGGTGAAGCAGCCACCTGCTGCCAACCAGCTGTATTTTGGGGACTGTGTTGAAGAGGGTTTTGCAGACCTTTTTCAGATTGGCCTCAACATTTAACATTTGGACCATTCTGGGAAATATATGTGGATGGTGTATTTGACTTGCTTAAGGCTTGAGTGGGAATTGAGAGATTTTAAGGTGCCATGGGGTTGGCACTGTGCTTTTCGTGGCCACTGCTTTGCATACAATTGGCAAAACTAAAAGCTAAGCAGATGAGCTCAGTTTGCTTTTCTGGGTACTCAGGGCTCTGGCAACCTCCAGGCTGTAATTGCCCAATTAAAATCTGATCTCCGAGGAGTAGAGGTTCCAGTAAGTTCCTTGATACCAGGACCCAGACTGTTGACAGGTGGAATATTTTAATTTTAACTAGAGAAGAAAGCCTGAAGTGAATACATGAAGCTCCAAATCTTTTAAGTTCAGCTGTGGTGTGTGTGTGGGAGGCCCTTTGTCTGCAAAATCTTGCTCTGCCCCCAGCAAGTCCTTGCTTCATGTCCTTGATGAGTTCTTGGGAACTCTGACATACCAGGTTTACCATGGACTAACTGACGCAAATAGGAGTTAGCGTATTTCTGGTCACAAAAACATCACCAGAGTTCTAAACAAAGACCAAAACACTTCTTCTTTTTTTTTTTTTTTGAGACAGAGCCTCAAGCTGTTCCCCTGGGTAGAGTGCTGTGGCATCACAGCTCACAGCAACCTCCAACTCCTGGGCTCAAGCAAGTCTCCTGCCTCTGCCTCCCAAGTAGCTGGGACCACAGGCGCCCACCACAATGCCTGGCTATTTTTTGGTTGCAGCCATCATTGTTGTTTGGTGGGCCCGGGCTGGATTTGAACCTTAGATGTATATGGCTGATGCCTTAGCCACTTGAGCCACAGGTGCCGAGCCTGCTAGGCTCTTTTGAATCCTTTTCTTGCTTGCTTTTACTTTCTGGATACTCAAGTTGAGAGTTTATATGCTGTCAATAATTACAAGAGTTCATGTTCAAGCTTTCAGAAGAAAGAAACCTTTTCTTAATGTCTGTATGCGCCTCTGATTTACAAACTGGTGTCTTCCCCTCAGGTTCACTTAGAACTACCTCCCAGCTCCGACATAGTGCAAACTCAAGAAGATTTTAACTTGCTGAAATCGAGCAATATTAGAAGATATGAAGTCCTTAAAGAGATTCTCACAAGCCTTGGCCTCAGCTGTGACCTAAAACAAGCTCCTGCCTTAACACCTCTTTACCTGCTGGCGGCTACGGAGGTGAGTTTGCGGCCCAGCTGGGGAGAGAGGGTGTCCCTTCTCCAAGAAGGTTACTCTTTCCCTTACTTGTTCTTTGTCCACTGGTTTTGATTTTGGTTTCTGATTTGATCTTCTGTTTCTCTGAGTTTGGAAACCATCTTTAAGATATGCAAATATCATTCATTTTGGGGGAAGAGTTAAGGAGGAGAAGACCATTTTGCTGGCGGTGGCCCTTTCTGCTTCAGGCAGAGGAGCATCCCCTGTTTTAGTATCCAGAGTGTATTTGGAAACCATACTTCATTCGTTGGGGATTAAAAACATATGTTTTGATTTGGGTCATTTTCCAGCAAATCTTTGGATGGGAAAAATCACAGCGTCTGTTTCATTTGTGCTGCTGTCTGTCATCTTGTGGCAAAAAGGGCCCTGGGTTTCTGTTCCTGAGTTGTGTCCATAAGGACAATGCCCACGGAGTGGGGACTGTATTTGGGAATTCTCTTGGCTGTGTCTTGTTTGCTGCCTGTGATGGATACCTAGGTTGGGGGCAGGTGGCCAGAGTCTCCACATATGCATTCTTGCTAACTCATTTAACTTGGCCCTATTGTCAGTTTCTTATTTGTTGGAATATATTATTTTTTGGGTCTGTTTCTGTTGTCTGCTCTGGACAGGCAAATCTGTGCATGTAATGATGTAACCATACACTTTCAGCAAGTCCCTGGCAGTCCAGGTGACTTGAAACGCCAAACCTGCTTTACCTTGAAAAGGACAAATTATATCCCTTACCCCAACGTTTTATACTTAATTTTTTTGTGAGAAAGAGTCTCACTAAGTTGCCCTCAATAGAGTGCTGTGGCGTCACAGCTCATAGCAACCTCAAACTCTTGGGCTCAAGCGATTCTCTTGGCTCAGCCTCCCAAGTAGCTGAGACTATAGGCACCCACCATAATGCCCAGCTATTTTTTTGTGGTTGTAGTTGTTATTGTTGTTTAGCAGGCCCAGGCCAGGTTTGAACCCTCCAACCTTGGTGTAGATGCCTGACGCCCTACCCGCTGAGCTACAGGTGCCACCCGGTAATTCTTCTTTCTTCTTTTTTTTTTTTTTTTTGAGATAGAGCCTCAAGCTGTCGCTCTGGGTAGAGTGCTGTGGTATCACAGCTCACAGCAACCTCCAACTCCTGGGCTCAAGCGAGTCTCCTGCCTCTGCCTCTCAAGTAGCTAGGACTACAGGCGCCTGCCACAACGCCTGGCTATCTTTTGGCTGCAGCCTTCATTGTTGTTTGGCGGGCCCGGGCTGGATTTGAACCCTCGAGCTCAGGTGTAAGCAGCTCAGCCTTAGCTGCTTGAGCCAAGGGCGCCGAGCTGGTAATTCTTTTTTCATTTAAGGGGCATTCTTTTGTTGCATTTTCATTACACATTTTTTAGCCAGTTTGCACTGTTTTTTATGAATGCTCTAGGGAACGATGATATGACTTTTTTTTTTTTTTTTTGCACTTTCATCTTGGAAACTCAGAGCTCCATGTCATTTATCTGTCTTTATGCATTCATTTGGTGGGAAGAAAAGCATCATCTCTGTCTTGTGATTTATAAAAAGATAACAAAGTAAAGCTGGTCCTCAGGGCTTCAAGCCTTAAGGACCACCTACTTGGAGCAACAGGGCAGGGCCATGTGAGTAAAGGTGACTGGTCTCGAGGGGAATGGGACTGTCACTCTCCTGGAGTGGCAGGACACATACACAAGTGCTGTCTGCGCTGAGGCCCCAGCCCTGGAGGTCAGGGAACAGGAAAGCCTGGGCTTGACCCCCTGACCTTCCTGAATTTGACCATGCTTATCCCAGGACTTGGACTTCTGGGCTCTCAAACAGAGCAATGAATGAATAAGAAAGAGTGATTATTCTCCTGTGAGCAGAAGTTAGAACTCTTGGCTTTTTTGGTGTATTCTTTAGGACGGGCGTAACCGGAAATACCTAAGTAGAGACTTTGTGTATAGGCCTGCTTATATTAAAACACAAAACAAGCCTGGCTCAGGCCTGTGATCCTAGCATTCTGGGAGGGTGAGGCGGGAGGATTGCTTGAGGTCAGGAGTTTAAGACCTGCCTGAGCAAGAGCAAGACCTCATCTCTAATAAAAACAGAAAAATAGCCGGGGATTGTCGAGGGCACCTGTAGTCCCAGGTACTTGGGAGGCTGAGGCAAAAGGATCTCTTGAGCCCAAGTTTGAGATTTCAGTGAGCTGTGATGCTAGGGCACTTCACCCTGGGCAACAGAGTGAGATTCTGTTTTTTGTTTTTGAGACATACAAAACCCACAAAGCAGATGCCTCACATCTTTGTCCTTCCAGTTCTTTAAGCTGCCTGGGGCAGAGGGGAGTGATCCTTTTTCACCTGTTAACTGATCAGATGGTGGGGTATTGATTCCTTCATTCCCAGACCTTGGGAAGGAAATGCTTGGACATAATTTCAACAAGGATTTGCTCCATGTTCTCCCCACTAGGCCCCTCATTACACATTAACTTTGGAAAATAATTATTTTCTTGTGTCCTCTAGTTTGTCTTGCTGATTTTCTTGGATTTCTATATGTGCACTACTTTTTCCTCTTAATTGTTTACTTCTGACTAAGCTCTGTTTTACTTTGGGAGCCCAAGGAACTGAGTGTGTGTATGATTATTGTACATACCATTTCATTTCTTAAGGTTACTCTGCTTAGAAGGCCTTGTATCGGCTGCATAAGGAAATGTCAGAATTCAGGGTTTTATGTTATGTTTTCCTGGGATGGAAGTTCTCTAAAGGACTATTGTGCAAATGATTTTGAAGATAGATTCTTTCCAACTGAGATGGTCTTTCTGGAGGTGTCTGGATGATTCCTCTTGATCTTCTCCTGATACTGAGGTAGAACATTTGTGAACAACTTGTGCCCGTTGTGTTGTTGGCTCAATATTTGTAGATGTGGACCATAGAGAGAGGGATTAAGATTGGGTTCTTACTTTCTATTTGGTTTTCTTTTCTTTTTTTCTTTTTGAGACATTTTCTCACTATGTTGCCCTCAGTAGGGTATGTGGTGTCACAGCTCACAGCAACCTCAAATTCTTGGGCTTAAGTGATTCTCTTGCCTCAGCCTCCCAAGTGGCTGACACTATAGGTGCCGCCACAATGCCTGGCTATTTTTCTTTTCTTTCTTTCTTTTTGTAGTTGTCATTGTTTGGCAGGCCTGGGCTGGGATCCAACCGGTCTGTCCTGGTGTATGTGGCCGGCACCCTAGCTGCTGAGCTACAGGCACCGATCCTCTATTTGGTTTTCTTTTCTGTAGCCCTGCTTGATAGATGTCATTGATCCTCACAGAATTGAGTTACATGCAGAGGATCTTGGCCCCCAGTTATCTGTTAGACACTGCTGATCCCATCCGTTTCCCCGTTCCCCTCATCTCCTGCCTGGTGGATTAGATGCCTGGGGGCATCTGCTTCTGCTTCCTGTGTAAGAAAGATGCTCTGTTTTGGGAAATCAAAGATCTCTCACCACAAGGTGTCACTGCTGAGCTAGGCTGCCTGGTGTGTAGAACCCAAGAACTATAAAGTAGTTCTTCAGAGATTAATTTTTTCTCTCTATATCCATTTTACATAGTACAATTTCATAGTTTTCCATTATACTGCTGATACTTTTTTGGGGGGAGGTCTGTAGAAATTATTTCAATGTCCCAGTTAATAATATTTGTCTTTCATTCAACATTTACTGTGTGCTAGGTACTGTTACAGCATGGGATATGAAAGAACAAAATAAATATACCAGTTATCTAAATAGCGTCACTGTGCACCAGCTGTGTTTATACAGTTCTGTGCCTTGACACTTGCTCTTTATGGTGAATAGCACGGAAGATTTATGAAGCACCTATGTGCTTCCATATTACTGTGATAAAAACGGAAAAGAATAGCATCGTGATCCAAGTCGGGGAAGAAAACACTCACGTGACCCTTGGCATTTGCTCGGGTTGTGTTCTGGGACCTTTGTCGATACCTAAACACCCCAGTAGCATGTGCTTTCCACTGTCAAGTTCAGTCTTGTATGCCTCCTTGATCGTGGGCATACAGGTGCCCTCTCCAGGTGACGAGAGGGAGGGCTCTGCTGAGGTGCCGGCTCTGTGTGGCTGGGCTGGGCGGCGTCCTTCTGACCAAGGCCTTCACATTTAATCTCGGCTCCCAGGGGCAAGATTGAAGTTCACGCCTCAGCCAAATTATAAAAAAGTAAACCACAAAACATACGAACACACGTATACCACGTGCCTACCTCCATAGATACGAGACTGAAGGAAACCTAGTAGATAACTGGTACGTGTGTGATGTATTTCTGGTGACGGGCTTAAGGGTGATTTTAATAATCTTTCTAAACTCTCTGTTTCCCACGTTTCCTATTATGGGTGTATATTATTTTAATAATGAGCCAAACCTGTTACCAAAGAAGAAACCCATTTCTCTGTTGGATTTTGAAGGCATTTCATACGTGGTTAAACTTGAGTGCTCCAAGGCAGAGGATTCTCATGTAGGTGTTGATATTTATTACTATATTTATTACTTGAAATGAGTCACTTTAATATTTGTTTATAATTGATAATAAACCACTTGACTCTGGCAAGTGGCTGCGGCAGCTGTGACTCTTAGGTTTAACTGTGAGCTCCCCTTAGCATGTGGGTGTCTGGGTGCCTTAGCCCTCCCCTTGCCCTGGTGGGTAGACGGTACTGCTGGTGTTAGTTCATAATTTGGGTGCCCCACCCTTGCTCGGACGCTCCCGTTTCTTTGAATGGTGTCTCAGAGGCCACATGCACACGACCTCTACACACTTCTTTTCCCTGGGTACTAATGTGCAGCGAGAGGTGGATGAGCCGTAGGAGGACTGCAGGGTGTGGTGGGGCAAAGTTGTCGGGGACCACCACGTCCACCTGTTGCCATTGGCGGGTGGCAGGAAGTTAGTGGTAGCTCACCTTTACTGTGGCGGGGGGACATTCACTTGTGTATGAGAGACACTTTATAGAAAAAACACAAT